AGTATCTTGTGCTGGTATAATTGAATGCCGGCATAGGCTAATGAGAGTAGATTAAAGACTACCAAGGCGACTATTTGAATGGTATTACGATGATGCAATGCATCCGCAACCAGTAATATCTGAAATATTAGTGAGAAAAGGAATCTGTTCGATAAAAAAAGTTACATGTGTCTACTGTTAATTGATGCCTCATGATAAATTCAAGAGTGGCAGCTCTGGGATAATATGACATTACACTCACATGGCATGATAAATCAAATCAGCGTCCGATATTCCTTTCCCTTTTTCATCGAGCGTAAAATTACTCACAAATGACACATGAAAATATATCACAAGACATTCTAATACGGTCGCAACTATAGTATATATTATTATCGAAGCTAGTGTATACTTTCCAACATTTGATAATTTGGCCATTCTTTGTGATCGTAATGTGTATTTGTGCTTTCACTAATTTAAAAGTATTATTTACAATGATAAAGTAAAGGAAAAAGAAAAAAGAAGAGGACAACAAATACACAAGATAAAAAAAAGGTGGTGTTTACAGGAATAATACGAGGCTCATTAAAGTTTTATTGAATGGGGGTATAATACCGTACTTTGAAGTTGATTTGAATAGACAAGGGTAAAGAAGATTATTTGACAACTCAATTACTCTATTTAAAACAAACCCCCTTTGAAATTTACTTTTGTGGCTGGCACAGAAAAAATCAACAAGTTTGTGTACGTGATTTGGATAGACGAACTAGAATTCGACCGTGGAATTGGGTCGTGTTTGACCAAAAAAAATTAGTAGGTAACGGTAATTCTCATTATTCGAGTGTTTGTGATCGCTATTATTCTTTTATTTATTTATTTACAAATCGAAATGTTCACAATGAGGTAAGAAATTCTTTCATCATTTGTTACGTATCCGATATATAGAAATTAATTATTAGCGTTAGACGGATCCCAATTCGGGTCATCGATTGAGTTACAAGTTTAATAGCATGTATCAAAAAAATTATCGAATGCGAGCAAAAAAAATCCAACGGAGCATTCAGATGAACACTCCATTCCGAATTGTTCATTGAATATACTATATCGGTAAAAAAGTTCTTAGTTTCTGAACCACCTTTTCTAAAAAAAAAAGAGAGTGCATCCAGTATAAATGCATCATCAATTTTGAGCGGGCATATGCTCATTACATGCAATTCGTTGTGTAAAAAAGCGGATTCACCAAAAATAACCAATAATTATTATTTTGTCAATATGCATGTGTATTATTATCTGAGATTATGAAATCACAAATAATTAAACATCAAACTGTTGTACTTCAGAATTTCTATGTGTAGAGTCAGGTTCCCTAAACATAAGCAAAATCTCTACATAGATGTCTGTTAAAGTGTACAAACCGAACCACCCAACTAAGATGGTTAGTCTTTTGCCAAGATAATTTTTTTTACAAATCATATTTGTAATACTGCGAGCATTTCTGCATAAAAAGTAACATCAAAGTACTTTGCATACTTTCAGATTGCTTGATTTTTACTGACCGGTCCCTAAATATTTAGGGTCCTGTAGAGTATATACTTTTTAAAGATACATAGTGAAAAATTGTCGCGTTTTTTATATTTGATTTGTGGCTAGACTTAAATAGGTGGTCATTGTAGAATGAATTCCTATGCTTTTATTTAAAGAGGCTTAGATCCGCGAATTCTAAGCAAAGTTCACGTGACTCGGTGTCACGGTTCTTCTTATACGGTACTATATTGCAACGATCGAGAAACCAGAACCTCGAATGAAGAAATAAATGATAACAAAAAAAACAAACAGACGTTGTCACACCAATAATAATTTTTTAATAATAATTATAAATTAATTTTAAAAAAAAAATAA